AATATGTTGGAGTAGTTTTGTGCTACTCTGATGTAATGCAGGGATGGAGTATATGGTCCTGCCCTAGGACATCGCAATGTTAATTGGACCATATTTTTTATATGAATTGTGGTTAATTTTGGAGTACTCCTTGGTCTTTAGGGAGTACTCTTTACACACATGCATGGAGTAGTCGCGATTTTTGCAGGGTTCATCCCAAAGTTTGTTGGCAGTAGGTTTCCCCTGGGCGCAATTTGGTAGTAAATTTTTGGCCAAATCAGTATGCTCGCTCATAAACTCGGCCATTAAATTCTTTTGTGTTGAATTTATCTTGTTGTAGTTAGTCCTTTATTAAAATAAATGTTAAAATTGTTAATAAATTTACATTAGCTTGAAAATTTACTTACATTTTAAAAATTCGCTTAAATTTAGCGCGCTCACGATTGATAGTTGCTGATCGAATGACATTTAGAACGAACGAGTACGTCCAGTTAATCGTTCACGTCTGTCATCATACCGAATTTCGATAAATTTCGATAAATGTGGCTCGTTCACGACTGGCATAATCCGAAATTCACATTTTTAGATAACGAGTTGCTCGTTCACGACTGTGACGATTCGAGCCCAGGTTTGAGTAAATACTTTTGGTATCGATGCTGCCAAAAACTAATTTCATGACTTTAATAAAGTTACCAATTTCAGAGCAAAAGGCTGAAAAGTTTTAAAATCGGACAATAACCATGCCCACATCCCATACAACGGTAATTTACAGAAATACAAAATCTTCTAAAAATCGGTAACTACTGAAGCTAATTTATTAAAAATGGATGTTTGCCATAATTCTTTAGTAATAAATACGCTTATAACAAATTTTTGGAAAATGGGCGTGGCACCGCCCACTTATGTCTTATGACTACATTAGTTTATCTCATTAAGTCTAACTGAACATATAATCGAATATGTTTGAAAAAGGGGTACAACCACCGCTGCTTACCATGTAACAGTAGTGACGAAGCGTGAAAAAAAACTATATTTAATACGTTCGCCGAGTATTTAATGTTCGACTTCGCCCAAACTCAGGCGTCTTTAGTTGTTTTTTCTTTCACTATGCGTCAGGCGGCCGGCCAGTTGACACATTTGCATTTTGTCTCCGCCGCGTCACACTCAGAAAAGCGGGAATCAGTCCGACCCGCGCGGAAAACTTAATTCTGGGCTTAAAACCGGGACGTGCCGATGAAATCGGGATGTCTGGTAACGCTGGTAAAAATGTATGTACATGTGTACGATGATCAGGCATTTGAGCGCGCCTTGTTGGAAAATCGCATCAGTGCAAATTGAATGCAAATGAAAGTTAGCTAAAACGAATATAAGCACCACAAACACCAACAACAACAAAGTCAACACTAAACACAATCAAAAAATTCTTCAAATGCAAGTTGAGACGCTTTCCCCCTGCCACCTGAAGTTCGCATTTTTTATTGTTATTGTTATGATTTCTTCAATGCTACGTCGCTTGCTCCACAGCGTGACTCGCGTCGAATTTGCGCACACTCGCACTTAGAGGTGCACTTAGCCGCCTCGTAAATGGTCTTCATTAGCAATTGCAGTTGGCCAGGATCAACGGGATGGCATCAACTGCGTCATAAAAAATATTCAACGCTCAAGGTGCTGTAGCACTTTATATTGCCTCAATTCGCGGTCACCATGGGCCCCTATGTCTGCTACGCTATCTACTTTGTTGCTGTTACTTTTCTTCAAATAAACTTTGCAAACTTTTTTCATGTTTTTCTGCTTTTCGTTAGTCATTTGCATTCGTTGCCTTCAATTGTTGCAATGGCATGCCAATCGGAGTATTGACGCGTGTGTGTGTGGATGTGTTTATCAGCTTTGCTTTCTGCCTTTCCTATTCTTAGCGTTTCTGTTGTTGTTATTGCTGTAAGAGTTAGCTTTTGTTGTTCGGTTTGATTGAAATAGATCCCCTTAATGAACGTGAAATCGCCTTCAAGTAAACGTGAAGCGTTCGAAATTTGAAAGTAAAGTAAATGGACTGACACGACACGACACAGCGCCAAAAGACGCCACACAAAAGGTAAGGCGCGCGTCGACGCGATAGCATTCGAATTGGCCGCTTATTGGCATGTGCCAATGCGTTCTTCTCGGACAACAAGCGGTATGTAGGATAACAGTTTGTCAGGCGATTATTTCGTAGAAGTATGTATCTACTATGGTAAGCGCCTCTTCTGAGTTACTTATTTATGAAAAAAGAATGTACATAATTGTTTTATGAGCATATACTTTCATGACCAGTAGGCGAATATGTTTGTATGTACATTAAACCACGCCAAAATAAATATAAAAACCCTTCAATGCGACCGCAATCTGACTCAGAATTTAGTATTTGGTACAGTAATGATCCTCCATGAATCTCCCTATCTACGATAATTCTAAGAGGTCGCGCATCGAGCATTTATTTTCCTCATATGAATTACACGTGGGAAAATTAGTTATATTCTTTTGAGGTCAATATAATTTTCTATGATTAATTAAAATACTCGAAATTATAAGAATACATTGTTTACATGCCATTTATTTAGATATATACTTATTTATTATGCAGGCTCAGATTCTTTAAACTCCGAAATTATCCTTTTTTAATCGCTTGCTCTGCTTGGGTTTAATCCAGTAATTACAAAAGAAAGTGTTGGAACTAAGCATGCTTGAAAGAAAAACCAGAAAATGTTGCTTTCTATGGCGAAAAGTTTAATTTTGATGGCTACAACGGGTTACTAATAGTTTTCACGATTTTTTAAAAGAAGAACGTTGTTTGTTTCCTCTCCATGACAAAGAAGAGAGTATGACGGTCTGAGCTGAGATTTACTAAACCACAGCAGTTGATATATTATTTGAAGTTACCACAATTACGAATAATTCATGCAAAAAAGTATTAAGGACAGTTTTTTAACATTTGTCGCATATTTTTGCACCTTGTTCTTGAATATTCTAGCAAAATGACCCATCGATTCGCACTATAGAAGCTGTAAAAATGAGAATAACGAAGCAAAGTCGTAATTTTTTAGCGTTCGTCCTATTCACAGGACCTAAACTTAATGCAAATTATTTGGAATTGGACGTTTTGCAAAGTTTGCGTGTCAGACATCCCATGTGATGATTGGCAGTTGTTCTTTTCGGCGATTAAAGTGGTAAGTGTTCTTGATTTTTCAAAGGTCCTCTAGAATTGTCTTCCGTAAAGAGGTTTTTTTCATATATTCGAATTAAGAATGTAGTATTTATCGGTGGAGTGCAATAAGACCCGCGGAAATAATGGCCATGGGCTTTATTTCCTAAAAAAAAAAATAAAGCCCGCTGGCGTTATTGCCTTTTTGAAAAAGAAACTAAGCCCGCGGGCCTTTTGCCGGTGGGCATTATTTCCCTTTCGATATGGCAATAACGCCCGAGGGCTTCATTTCCTAAAAATTTGAATAAAGCCCGCGGGCGTTGTTTCATCTTTATTGTGGCTCTTGGCTCCATTTTAGAATATGCACATCCAAAACCCA